ACAAATTTGTTGAAAGTCTGTTGTCCAAAAAACTATATTGAATAACAGGCTTTTAACATATTCGAAAATATATTAAAAGTCCTATGTTAAAAAAAAAGTTTGGTATTCTAACATGTCTAACAGGGGGAAAGGGATTGTTAGTGATGGAGACCGAGAATCCTATTGCTGGTAATATACCCAACCAGGTCGGCCTCCTCGCGGTTCCCCCTGGAAACTATCATGGTTAATTCCTGGTGAATTCATCATGATGGGCTAACTGGCCTGTTTTCATTCTCATCTATCACCCTTCACTGGTGCTCCGCCAGCGTATCCCGTTAGCGCAGGCGGGGTTACCATTCCATTTTCACCCATCAAAAAAAAACATGTCTAACAAGGACGTTCCAAGTTAGTACGGAAGTCTAAAATATTTTGTTGTTTTCGATTCATTTTTCTTTGAGAATTATCTATATCTTTAAATGATAAAAAATTTGGTTCAATTTTTATCTACATAACAATATTTGAAATAAAAACGACAAACTTGTTACAAATTTTATTTTGATAAATCTATTCTGAAACTAGCACATGATCTGTTTCAAAGAACTAAAGTGCGGCGGCAAATAAATAGATTTGAGATGAGCCGACCAACATCATGTCAAAACCAAAGTCAAAACACTATACAACAATTTTATTTAAAAAATAAACAAGTTGATATGACGTAAAGGTTATTAAGAAGGGTGGCCATAAGACTCGTCAAATTCCGGACAACGTGTTAAAAATTAATTTTGAAAGATTTAAAATTTATTACGTTTCTATTGACAAAATAAGTTATTTACGTAAATGGTATGGCAACTCAATTTTCGGTTGTGACACGACTATTCTGAACTGAACAGGATGTGGGTTTCACGTGTTGGCATCTCATTTTGAAGACCAGGTAATCGATGTGATTGTGTGTTGTTTTACGACTAACATAGCACGGTGGTAGGCGGGGGGAAAGGGATTGTTAGTAATAGAGACTAAGAATCCCATTGCTAGCAATATACTCAACCAGGTCGACCTCCTCGCAGTTCTCCCTGGAAACTATCATGGTTAATTCCTGATGAATTCATCATGATGAGCTAACTGACCTGTTTTCATTCTCATCTATCACCCTTCACTGGTGCTCCGCCAGCGTATCCCGTTAGCGCGCGTTACCGCACCATTTTCACCCATCAAAAAAAAAAAAAGAACGGTGGTAGGCAGTTTTTGATAATTGTAGTACCGTGTTCCATTCTCGAATTGGTAAATTACTTCAGTTTTGAAGTTTCCGAGTTGCTCCAATAGATATTGTGGACGCAAGCGGGGTATCATTTATTAAACTCTTAAAAAGGAACTATTGTGGAAGATTATCTGGAATTATTATATGAAACATCATGCAGCTTAGCTTACGTAAATAAGAATAATAAGTATATGTGGTCCGTTTCTGTATGTGTCCAAATTTTTAAAAATGTTTAGCCATTTAAGCGTAATTAATTAACAAATATCCCTAAATTTTTACAAACTTCTACATTTATAATATTAGTAGAATTAATCTCAACTGCTATTTTATGACGGATTGTCTTTTTCTTAAATATTTTAGTAACTGATTTTGACTCTAAAAGACGCAATTGTTAAATAACCTAGCTACATCAAATGGCCATAAATATATTTTTTCAGATTTCTCTAAATCATTTAGACTGATAGAATAGTGACGGTCACGTACAGAAATTACAAATATGAAAAATTTCAAGGGACTGACGTTCAATTCACTAATTCATGTAATAATTATTTAAAATATCCTGTGTAATTCTTAAATTGTGGTTCACTTCGCATTAAAGGAACTAAGATTTACGTCAGTTTAAATGATGATGGATATTGTAAACGTTTATTATAAGCAATAACGGATAATCGATTGTATACATCTATTTACGATTTTGCATACGGATATGTAACGCATCAAGTAAACCTAGTGAATGTTTGACACAATCATCTTTCAGTAAAATATTTATTATGTAATTATTTGTAACTGTGTACTTTTGATCAGATTTATAATGTGTTGATGTATAACTATTTATGAAGAAATAATTATGTACAGTCACATGCAATATATTTTTTTTAATTTTTTATACAACTTAGAATGGCAAACAAACTGATGGCCCATATAATAGAAAGTGGTAACCGTCGCCTATAGACATGAGCAGTACCGTGGACATAACAATACACACACATACTGTTTCGCCCATGATACCCCCCATGCGTTGCCATTCCTGAGGATTGAGGTGTTATTCCTCTGTACCCTGTAAATTCACGCCATATCCCACCCTTCAAACTGAAACACAGTTATGCAAACACAACTGCTTCACGGTTAAAACACGAATGGGACAGATGTACCCAAGCAATCGACTTTTGTACAAAGTCTCCCTCTTCCTTTTTTAAATACACAGTTCTGAACAATTCTTGATAAATTTTTATGCAATCCGTAGGGTTATGAACCCTATAAAATAAATAAGAAATGTTGTTTTTTTTTATTCAATTTAGTAACGATTAAATTGTTTTTAGGAGCAAAGGAGGAGGATTTTAAATAATTACAGAGACATTTCTGATGTATCCGAAGACGAATTAACTACGAAATGCTTATAGTAGTTAATGTTTAGACTATGATATTACGTTGCTAGACAAAAAGATCTCCCCACATTTCATTTCACCTTTTTGCATACTTTCCTAGTTATTGTACATTTGTTTTCGAAATGTACTCAAAATTGATACTGTCATTTGCGAAGTATAATTTGTAGCTGTTATTTAGGTTGATTAATATATTAAGGTATAGGAATGTTTATAGAATTTGTATAATAAAATATTGAAATAGAACAATTTCGGCTTAATCTCAACTTTTCTTAATAAAGATAGAAATTATTCTACAGCTTACTCCTCCCAAAATGAGTACTTAAGCAAATGACATTGTGAAGACAGGATTATTGTTAAAGTGGGGCAAACAACGCTAATTTGCTTGTTTTGTAATCCGTCCTTAGTTGAAGCACGGGGAACGAGTTGTGTAATAAAATAACAATGTTAAATATCGTGCTTTCAAATGAAGTGCCCTTTAGAACAATGCTGTACTAAGGTAATTAACGGTAGAGACGTCCGTTCCGTACAAGGTTCTCCACTCAAATGAGAAAATGCCACTCGAAAACAAAACTCGCTATTACCTACCCTTAGCTTTTGTTCCATTTTTGAAAAAATATTCTCTATTCAATGCGGCCAATGAGAACAAGCGCGGTACAGTACGTTGATTGGCCGACGACCTGAGTGCAAGTGGAAATAAAAAGTGCTTGGGTAAATGAGGAGTTCTGTCCCTTTCTGGCGCGCTGCGTTTGTATATGTTTGTTTTGCTCGGTTTTTCGTTTTAATTGCAAGCACGAGAGGATGTGTAAAGGGTTGCGGGACCTTGAGTGTTGCACGTGGAGGAGGCTGTGGCATCGGGGAAGCGCATTCATCTTGTTTAAATGGGGAAGGGATCCTGTTTACATGGTGGTCGATGAGGGCTATGTTTTCGAAATTCTCAATTGCATTATATTATTTTGGGATGCTGCATAATTCATATTGATTTGTGAGTTGTTATTTTATCAGATGTGGATTTTTATAATGTTAGTGTTGTTGATATTCATAAGATTTAAAGTCTAGGAATTTATGATTCTATATAATACTATTGAGTTTTTAAGATTTTTAATAATTTATACAGAAATAAAAAAAAATCCTACATGATAATGTGTTTCTTCCACGCGAAATTTAAGTTTTAGTGATATTGATTAATTCCCGGCATAGCATGGGCCACCTCTCTGCACGTCAAGCGTGGCAACCACTGGCAAAACAATCCTTATGAGGGAGGCCTTAGTTCAACAGTAGACAGTTAACGGCTGATGTGATGACGATGCTGTGATAATACTGATAGTACTTAAAGAAAAATAAAAAAAAGAAATTTTATCACAATTATGAATCTTTGTTTCTTAATAATGTTTGCCTTTATCGAAGACATTTAAAATGTTTTCTCCTAACTCAGATTTCGACTAACAAATAAACAAAAATCATTTTGTTGTCTAAGTACGGTTAGCGTAAACTATTAAGTTTTGACGTTCTCTGCACGAAGAGGAGGGGATCATTAGTAATGGAGACTAGAGGCCCCACTGACAATAACGTAGATCCGCTCTGGAAATTATTACATCATATTTGAATACCTCATAATGGTTTTTTTTATGGGCGATAATGGAATGGTATCACCATCGGCGCTATCGGTATACACTATCGGTATACCCATGAAGGATGATAGGTGAGGATGAAGCAGGTCAGTTAGTCCATCGTGAAGAATCTAACAAGAATTGTTCACGATGGTTTCCAGGGGGAATCACGTAGAGGTCGACTTAATAGGGCATATTGTTAGCAATGGGGTTGTCAAATTCCATTGCTAATAATCCCTTTCCCCCTCATAATGGGTTAATTTTAAAAAGATGATAATGGAATGGTAATCCCGCCTGCGTCAACGGTATACGCTACGAGACATTAGTGAGGGATGATAGGTGAAAATAAAAAACAGGTGAGTTGGTCCGTCGGGATGAATGCACCAGGAATTCAGTACGATGGTTTCCAGGGGGACGACATGGATGTCGACCTGATAGGCCACATTGCTAGAAATAGGACTGGTAGTCTGCATAACTAACAATCCCTTCCCACCAAGGGGCTAATTAATCTGACTTTGTCCTGATCTATCACACTTCACGTGTATAATCGATGGGGGTCGCCAGCGCAAAATAATAGTAGAAGCGGAGTGATCATCCATTAACCAATTTTACTGAGAATTTTACAGAAACTTTTTGTAGTTTAAAGTTGCAAACAAACTTACAAATATATAGATATATTTATGTTAATTTAATTGGATTACTGTCGTAGCTGATCTTTCTATAATTTTCGAATTCTGTCACGCTCTCGACATAATTGTTTTTTTTTTCTTTCAGGAATTTAGCAGCCGTCCGGCAACAGTCCCCGCACGGCAACACATCGTTAGATACGGTCATGCCGCTGCACAAAGACAACTGTCACAGACTAGAGTATCTGGTGGAGCGACAGAAACAGCTGTGTTTGCTCTCCGACAAAATGATACAGGTCAGTGATATTTGTGGCTACAAATTGCAATCGTACTATTTTTTTTTATGCAATTTAGAATGGAAAATAAGCTCATGGTCCACCTGGTATAAAGTGGTAACCGTCGCCTATAGACATGAGCAGTATCATGGACATAACAGACTATATATTATTATTTATTTTTATGTAACTTAGCAATTATTATTTCAACCGTTAACTGTCCACTGCTGGACATAAGCTTTCCCCATAAGGGCAGGGTAGGGTTCCAATAGTTGCCACGCTTAGCAGGCGGGTTGGCAACCGCAATTAGGCTTTTAGAGATGTTTCAAGAGGGACACTGCTGCAACTCGTAACTTAGCAAGCAAGCTGACAAAAATATGAACTGCACCGTGGACGTAACAGAATATACTGTGGCACCCATGGTACTCTCCATTCGTTGCCATTCTTGAAGATTATAGTGTTATTTACGGTTTTTAATTTTTAAGAGAATGGATTGAGATTTACATTTTTAGTCTCTACTTACAACTTTTTTTTAATTTAATAATAGAAAAATAAAGTAATTATATGAAAAAAAAATACGACGAAACAATTTAAAATTGTGTTCCAAAAAAAAAAACAGAGTTCAATTTTGGCAAAATAATTTAAACACTAAACTACTAAAACTTTTTTCATAAAATTTCTATGAAACCAATTAGACAGTATATTATTAAAAAAAAAAAATGTAAATTCGTTTAAAACTGATGGAGTAGTGAGGTAACAAACACAAAAAGAAAATAACCGAATTGAGAACCTCTTTCCTTTTGAAGTTTGAAAATTGTTTTTTTTTGGTTTAAGATCAATATATTTTACTTTCACATAACTTTAGCACTCTCAGATTAAACTAATTAATCTAACTTCATATAATTAAAAAAATCTGCCAATTAATTTTAATTGTCGAATTATTTTTTTTTATACAGATTTGGGTATAAGTTACAATTTGCGTGAAAAATATGAACGTACTTTTAAATATACACATATTTATTTACATCCAAATATTATTATTATTATTAAGCTAAATAAAATTTTTATAATGTTCTCCAAAACAACCCATAGATCGTCTTTCATAGCCAATAAGAAAAGGGCTTTATACTTAAAAATTGTCGCTGGTTAATAACAATTTGATTCTAGTACGTAAAATGTATTTAATTATCTTAAACCATTTAACTTGATGTTGTCGTAAAATGTACCTTTAACGATTGAGATTGTAAAGATATATAGGACGTATTGGCAATACACGAGCGGGTATTGCGTTCATAGAACGCTTTTTCGTTGCACTTCGCGTTGGAAACGCGTTAAAAGTAAACTACGTTTAGTGATAGTGTCTATCTATTCATATCCATTGGATTCTCAAAATACATTAAAATTCATTAATATATTGTTCGCACAAATATCAAATATTAAGTAAAATTATATAAAAGTAAGTTACCTTAATTATTACAGTCTGCATGAAGAATGACAAAAAAGTTTGTTGTTTTTCACTTGTCAATTTGCAAGATCGAAGTTTTCATAGTTTATTTTAGTTTTACATTCAGTTACGGCTTTAAAATGATAATGGTGGGGACAATAATGCATTTTTTTAAAATTTTGCTGTTAATATTACTTATGTAATATTTATTTCTAAATTATTAAGTAAGTTTTTTACAAACATTTTTATTTGTTATAAAGTATGATCTCATAGAGCAAATATTCAATTTTTCTTAGTATAAATTTGGACAACATATATACTAAGAAAAATTTAAATTATTATATTATAATATTTAATATTTTTTTTAATTCGGTTGTATTATTTTATGTTAGTTACCTCATAACTCTGTCAGTTACAAACTGATTTGAAAAATTATTTTTTTAATAAAAGGATATTTATAACAGGAAAACCAAGATTTATTTATATTAAAAATAACTATAAGATAACAATAATGAATACATTTACAGACTGATCCAATAGAAATTTTATCAAAATCGATTCAGTTGTTTAGTTTTCGAACAAAAATATCTGGTTTTAACACAAGACGGTTTCTTTTGTGAAACACGATCTTATTTTCTTGTTTTATTGACACAATAGAGACCCGTGTTTTTCACTTTATTTTATTTAATGGACTCTTGTTCTGATGTTAGAGTAATGATAAAACAACTAATTTAATTAAGCAATTGAGTACGACTTTTAATTACTGTTACAATGATGTTCGTGTCATTATTCTTTTAAGTACTTTTCGTTACTGGATGGCCATTACCTGCTATAATATTTACATAAAATATCTAGTATAATTAGTATCTAGCCAACCTTGGGTAATATGGATAAAAATATATCACGTCTATTCCAAAATTTATACAAATATGTACAAAACACTGTGTGTGTTTTTTTTATGGGTGAGAATGGTATGGTAACTCCGCCTGCGCTAACGGGATACGCTGGCGGAGCACCAGTGAAGGGTGATAAATGAGAAAGAAAACAGGCCAGTTAGCCCATCATCATGAATTTATCAGAAATTAATCATGATAGTTTCCAGGGAGAGCCGCGAGGAGGTCGACCTGGTTGGGTATATTGCTAGCAATGGGATTCTTAGTCTCCATTACTAACAATCCCTCTCTCTCCGGGACTAATGTGTGTTAATATATTTAAATTAAATTAAAAATTCATGGTCATTCCATAATAATAAGAGTATAGGTACGTATGTTTGTTGGCGTCTTGGCATAAAAAAAAAGTTTTAAGTATTGCACTAAAAGTGATGACCATTGTTTTCATAATACGAAAGAGATGATAATCGAATTACGAGTACATAAAACGAATACAATCAGCAAATATAGGCAGCTGCAATAATACAATCGATTTTGAACTCTAATTAAATCGCAAATAGCGTAACATTGCAATGATATGCAAAGGAATGGCAACGCATGGGGGGTATTATGGGCGAAACAGTATACTCTGTTAAGTCCATGGTATTGCTCATGTCTATAGGTGACGGTTACCACTTTCCATCAGGTGAGCCGTCAGCTTGTTTGCCATTCTAAATTGTATAAAAAATTGTAGCATAAATCGATGTTCGGTCGACATAGTCAATAGGGTAGTCCATTTCTGTTGGCCACTTAATTGTTTATTATTCATAAAAAAGGACAAAAGATAACAAAATATAATTTGAATTGTAGTACTTAATTGTACATTCTTAACACTTATTTTGTTATGGCCTGTGTTTTTGCTTATTTTTTTAACGTAAGGTGATTTTCAATTTTTTTTTTACAAATTTTGATAATTTATTTAATAATCATACACAGGGTTTAGTTTTATAAAAAAAAAAAAAGTTTTACGATAAAAATCTCTGTCTAATTGAGGAGCAAAATTTATTTATAATGAAATAAATCTTTGACCTTATCGTAAGAGATTAATAATATTTCCAATTTCACGTCTAAATACTTGAGTTAATTCACTCATAATATTTTATGTCTATGCGTAAAGTTAAATATGTAAAACAAATAGGCGAGAATCATGATCTAATTGTTTTGTAACTCAAGTAGTTAAAAGAATACGTTAATATAGCACGATTGGTTGCATTCTGGCCGAGATCAAACCCAAAAATATTACTTTTATTTATTTATTTATTTATTTATTTATTTAAGGAACACCAACAGCATATTGCATTATAACATGTAGGTATAACAAACATTAAATATAATATAATATTAATGCACATGCCTATTATAGGTATTCACAGCATTTACTTTAACATAATTATACAGTGTGAGAAAATGAAGTAAATAAAACAAACATGTAACCTAAGTTGTGAGCAATATCAGAAAATACGATTATGAGTGAATTGAATTAAAAAATACTTTTCTTATTTCCGCAGTTGGATTAATTAATATTTTAATTTAATTGATAAATTTTACCCTTAACACCTATAAAATTTATATTATTGTAATGCCCATTTCAGGTTCTTCAGACCGGTGCGCTACAGGCTGTGGAAGAATGTCAGCATCAATTTCGACACAGCCGCTGGAATTGCAGTACAAGTATTGCTGAAAACTCAACAGACATTTTCGGTGGAGTACTGAAATTCAGTAAGTTACTGTTCTTTGAAGCATCATCATCATCTTCATCTTATCAGCAGATAACTGTCCACTGCTGAACTTAGTCCACCCTAAGAGAGATTTTGCCAATAGTCGCCATGTTTGGCAGGCGGCTTGACAACCGCACTTAGGCTTATCGTGATTTAACATGCTATATGGATAAATGCGTTCTATTTTTTTTTAATACGCTTTGTTTAGAAAGAATAATTTATAATATGTATTTTATTACTTTCAATCAAAATTGAAAAGTCGATATGAAGAATCATTGTTTAATTATATATAAATTTAGGTAGAAACTATAGTTTTTGATATTCGAAAGATAGCTACAAAAGATTATTGTTTTCGAAAGACGTTTAACGCTCAAATAAATTACTATTTTTATTGGTCTTGACACGTTTTTAAATAAAAAATGCAGTTTTTTGTGAAAATTGTTGTGAATATGTGAAATTGTCCTCTTACAAACTATTCTATTAGTACTTACATACATGAGATGTAACTCATGTATGTATGTATAGGTCTAACAAATATAATACAAGTAGAGGTACCAAATAGATAGCAAAGTGGAATTCATCTTAACAAATTGGATGATGTTTCAATACAGGGTAAAGCTAAAAAAAATTACAACTATCTTCTGTTAATAAACTGATAAATGTAGACTTGCAGAGGAGCTAAAAGAGGTCTGTTTGAAATGACAAATTGGGCTTTTCAAATTTTCAACCGACTTTTAAAAAAGTAGGAGATTATAAATTCGGTCGTATCTTTCTATGTTTAATCTCATAATTTCGTCAGTTATAAACCGATTTAGTTTTCTTTTTTCTGAAACAATGTACTTACAGAATGGTCTCAAAGAAGTTTTATCGGAATAGGTGCAGTTGTTTAGTTTTTAAATCAAAATTACTAGTTTTATTACAATTGTAGTGAGTGTTTTGAGGGACACAATCTTTTATTTCTTTTTTTATTTATACTTTATTGTAAACACTAATAAAACATAAATAAATATTTAATTAATTAATTTTAAACAACCTTTAATTATTTAAATGCTTAACTTTATATTAGCCATCAGAGCCTTTATTTGGATTAAATATGATTACATTAGATAAATATGTAATTATATATATATGCAATTGGATGTATTTGTCTCCAACTTGCTGGAGTTTCGTCGAGTGACCACAGAGTAATTGTATTCAGACGTTTTTTGTTTCAGTTAAATATTTTTATATTATTTTTTGTTTAATATTTTTGTGTAATATTCCTTTTGATATGTTATTGTACTCATGCTTTCCTAGGTGAGCGTATTGGAAGACTGTAAGGCTCACCCAGTGGATGTAATAAATAAATAAATAAATTCAGGTATATTGTTCGAGATTTTTAAATTCTATTTTTATCCAGATAGGAGACATAAGTGATTTATACAAGTACTAAAAGACATAACTATTACGAAACAATCGTATTTTGCATTTATCTTGTATCCAAGTGTAATCATTTCCTGTCGTTCCATATAATTATCTAATATTGTGATAAAAATTCTTGGAATAAAAAAATATTGATTTATTGATAACAGTTTACCTGTTATCATTGCCAATTGTTGTTGTTTCCTCTTTTAGATGAGGCAACGTTAACTGGTATAAGGATTTTAAAATATGACTTTACATTTTGATAGTTGTGGGGTCGAATCCCGCACAATATAAATATTTATATTTATTAGTATTTTTGTATCAGTTTATTTATATATTCAAAATATAATAAGTTTAACTATATTAGGTTTCTATTATTTAATCATATACTACAATAACTGCTTAACTTGAGATTAGTTAGTATTGTGTTATAATGTAACAAATAAATTTTAAATACCATGCTTATTCCCTATTTATTTATTATGTTACAGCCCTTGATTTCACGTATCTCTGTGCCTCTTGAGTGTGATTCTTATGTTTTCCAAGTTAGACACAATTCTATGTCTTATTTTTTTTCAAATAAGACATATCACCAGTCAATTTTTAATATATGATTAGTCAAACGTCTCTTCATTTATATACCTATCTTCATATATCATCAACATCATCATATCAGCCGTCAATTGTCCACTGCTGGACATAGACCTCCCGTATAAAAGTCATAAATTGTAGTTGCTATGCTTGGCAGTTGGACTGGCAATCACAGCTAGGCTTTTGGTGACATTTTAAGAGGTACGATCTTTATATATACCCATATTTAATTGCACTTACAATTAGTTAATCGAATCAAAATTTGATGCAGACGAAGCCGCGTGTTAGAGTTTGTCTAAATACCTGTACAATCCTAATATGGATAAACAAAGTAATCAGTAAATAGATCTTGTTAAAATAATATACATTTTGTTACGAACTCTCGGAGATCTTAAGAGCGCAGTACAAACTGAGAGGGTTTCGGATTGCCACATGCCCTTTGATGTCGTGTCAGAAACGCTTTGTAGAAATCTTGTCAGTCATCAGTATATTTGAATGTTTGTTTTATCTGAAGTTCAAGGGGGATTCCAAATAGAGCGAATTGGAAACAACGCCTATAGAGGATGTAAATACTTAGGTAGATACTAAATAAATTTGTAATGTTTTGTAGAGTTAAAAGTGGAGTTATTTTTATTACATTTTTATATTTTAAACTAATAGAATTTTCCTTTCAAGCAGAAACTTCGTAAAACTAAAACTAAGCATTAATCAGTTATTTTATATACGCGTGATGGGACTTCTATTTAATTTTTTGATACTGTTTTTTTAATTTTGTTAGAATTCATAGAGGATTTTTTTAATAGAGAAAATGATTTTATATATCTTGTACTTACTGGAAATAAGGCATGAGTATGTGTGATTCCCCGACTTAGTAAAACTCGTTTTTTAATAGTGGGCTAATTAACCTACTTCCATCCTCACCTACCATCTTTTACTGGTGCTCCGCTATCCGTTACCGTATATAGCGATACCGTAGGTGGGGTTACTATTCCATTATCATGCATTAAAAAAAATCTTTAGTTCATGAGGTCTTTTTTTTTAATAGTTGGAGGTGTGCATTTGTTCAGGCATCCCGTCTCCGCTATTAGTTCCTGAGGTCAAGTAGATAGCTGTTGAAATGTAACAGAACAACGTACTTTATCACTTAATATAAGGAACAAGTTAATTTAGATTTTTTAATTTACGAAGTAACGAAGCAAGAGCTCTCTTGCTTCGTTCCATTAGACTCTATCATTAGGTATTTAAATTTTTCTTCACTACAAGTGTCTATATTAGTTAATAAACATTTTTCAATGTTAAACTACAAATTGTACGATATAACTACAGCAAAACGAGTGAATCCGTCTCACATGCCACACGTTTATAAGCGGTACACTTCAACGGTTTTCATGGAATATACATGAATTGTTTATTTTGAAATGTCGATAACTGGCCTCACGTCTAGTCCTGTTGACTGAGCAGCTCAGTGTGTTTATTGTAAACCACTAATAACACGACCAGTGTAAAATGACCCTCGTCTCTTGTGGACACCTAAAAAGTCACAAACTTGAATTCGGTGGAAAGACGCGAAGAAGGGTCTACATATCTGGATGATTGCGAACTGAATGGTCAATGAACTTCTGCCTAGAGATTTTAAGATATAAATTGTCTCAATGAATGACTTACTCAGGTTCATAGATTACTAAGTGCCAGATGATTTTTGTTATAGGTAATTGCTATATTAATCCTTTTATAAAGTTTTACTTTTTAATCTTTTCATGAAAGACTGTCCCAACCAAGTTAAGAATAGTGAGGGGGAAATGTAATGAAGAGACTTTGTTCGGAAGTTTTTTTTAATAGTTAAAAAAGGAATGGTATCCAGCCTTAACGGGGGTTTTAACTGTCAGTAATGTGGACTTCCATTTCTATTGCTAGCAATATAGCTTATCAGGTCGATCTTTTTGAGATGTATTAATCACGATGGGCTAACTGACCTGCCTTTTCATTCTCACCTGTCATCTCTCACTGGTGCTCCGTCAGCGTATACTGTGAGCGTCAGCAGCCATACCATACCATAATATCTACTGAAAAAAAAACTCGCCTGATCCATTGGTATAGGTCTATATATCCATATTTGTTATAGTGGAGGGGTTCCAAGGAAGGATGATAAGCGAAGATGAAGTTAGGTCAGTAAGCCTATTGAGGCAAATTCATTAGGAATTTAAGATAATATTTTGCAGGAAGGACTATGTAAATATCGAGCTGATAGAATTTATTTCTGATAATGAAATAATTAATATCTGTTCCTAACAAACTTTTCCATCTTCTTCTTGTATTTATTATATAGTATATTATCCTATAATCTTCTCATCTTGGGCGTGTTATGTTGACGATGAAGTTTTTTAAAATTATACTATATCCATATATTGAACGGAAGTTGCTATTATAATATAAAATGATTGTATGCCAAATTCTCTAATTCCAGAATCACGAGAGTCAGCATTTGTACATGCACTATCTGCAGCTGCTCTTGCGCATACAGTAGCGCGCGCTTGCAGCCGCGGTGAACTGAACGAGTGCTCCTGCGATGCTCGTGTGAGGAAACGCACGCCGAGACACTGGCAATGGGGAGGGTGCTCTGAGGTGAGGATTCTCCTCTCCTACAATTAAACGTACTTATAAATGCGACAGTTTGCGAGAATGTATGTATGGATAGATGTTGGTTGCTCTTTCACGCAAGAATTAGCTAACAGATTTGAATGTACACGGATAAATTATATTTTGGCTTAGAACATACGATACTTTCTTAGGTGATATAGATAGAGCATAGAGCATCAAAATAGATCAACTACAGTTAGCTAAAATTGACTGAATTGAAGTGCGCGCTTTTTTTTCAGTGTTGCAAATGACTGACTGACCGAGCCGATTTTTTTTAATTTAAATTGAGAATATAAGAGACCGGTGCTTTCTTTATTAGCTCCACTTGATAATCGTATTGGATCCACATTTGTTTTTAATTAATCATATATTGTATTATTGTTTTATTATTATTGAAATAAATAAATAAAAAACTATAATTGCAGGATATAAGATATGGCGAGATGTTTAGTCGAGACTTCATAGATTCCAAAGAAGATAAGAACACTAATGAAGGGCTGATAAATTTACACAACCATGAAGCAGGACGAAGGGTAATAAATATATAATAAATATTACACATTATCACAGATATAAATTTTAATAATTCCCAAAACTGCAAGTTTTTGAGTATAATTTTTTGTTTTTGGATTTAAAAGAAATTAAATTCAATAGAGTATTATTAATTGTGGCTAAATTTAAATTCGGTGTTACTATATGAAATTTATGTTGAGAAAAGTTTAGAGATTTGTCAAAAATAGATTATACTTCTGAAAAAACTTCGTGCAAAAGGAGGTTTGCTATAAATATCAACCTCAACTATATTTCCCCATAAATTTAGACTTAGCGACAAAAGTAAGTTAGATAACAATCATCAGATGAGTATAAGAATCTAATCAATTATTTTAATGTCAATAACCTTTTCGGTCCATCTCGGTCCATCTAGAACAATATTATGCATGACCGTCACTATAAAGTGTTTCACAGACGATTCTACGACTATATTTTAAGCTACTTTTAACCAATACTTTAAGCCTCTTTGCTTGTCTAATCCAATTTGCCTTGGCCAATTTCCAGTTGTACTCCACTACTCTCACTATTTACTTTTTAATGTCCTAGTTGTTTTAGAACATAGATTATCTATTATCAATTTTATATTCAAGTTTAGATATGCAAATCCTCATTAGTTTGTGATCTCCTTATTTTGAAAGTTCTTCAGACTATTATCGCGCTGCATCGTACCTAAGTGTTCAAATAATATAGTATGTGAGGAAGACTATAGGCAATACAATTTGTTATATTTTCACTACAAAGACTTCTTATTTCTCATTAGCCTACAACTAAAATATTAAATTATGTGCAAACCAATTCTGATCAATTTTCAGGCAGTACGAGGTCGTATGCAACGCGTGTGCAAATGTCATGGTATGTCTGGATCTTGTTCGGTCCGCGTGTGCTGGCGTCGGCTGCCTCAACTCAGGCTGGTTGGTGACGCTCTCATTACCAGATACGAAGGAGCCTCTCATGTTAAGGTAATATTTTTTTTTTATTAAAAGATGTATATAGAAAAAATATATATATATATATATATATAATATGAAAATAGGTTTATACAATATGGCTGTAAAAAAAGGATATTTTCCCATTAAGAAAATATAAATAGTACCATTTGAACACAATTGGTGAAACAACGAATGCAATAAAGAATAATATAAAATAGTGCGCAATATAGAAATATAAAAAATAAAGTAAGATTAAGAATCTTTAAATGTTTTGGTCAAAAATTGAGGCTTTAAATTCGGTTCCAGCATCCAAAGAGAAAAATAATGGGAATGACATCATTCACAAACAAATAATCTCAATCTCATTCAAAGTGTATTGTTTTACCACGTTACTGATATGTATCAGTAACGTGGTAAAATAAATGTAAACCATATTTATGTTTTACAATTTTCTAAAGCTTGTTTCTCTTATAATACTTGATTTTTTACTATCATAATACTTTTCTGACATTTTAGATCGTTGAAAGAAAAAGAGGCAAGAATATAAGAAAACTGAGGCCACTACACTCGGACATGAAGAAACCCAATAAAACTGATTTGGTGTATTTGGACGACTCACCTGATTACTGCGAACCTAATGAAGAGTAAGTATAAACATTAAAAAAAATTTAAGGAAATTAAGCAAAACAATTAAGTATATACTAATTTGATGGCTTACCCGAAAGCGTGAAAGGTTGCTTATGCCGACCTAAAGATATAAATAGTATTTAAATGCTATAATAAATTTCATACTTTGCTGAGGATTAAGACGAATATCTTTAATTAATATAAGATAATATAAAGAAATATAAAGTTTAGTAGTAAAGAAATTGCATTTGCTCTACCTACTATCAGAATTGTTATAATTATTCCTGTGTAGTATTAAAGTGAGAATAAAGCCTGTTACCACGTCATTTTCACGATGTCTTATGCGAAAAATAAAGGAACAAAATGCAGTACACTTTTGCTAGAGAAGAAACCCTAAAATAAAACTATATATCAAGCTTGGAAATGATGGTTTGAAATATGTATCAATGGTGCTACCGTTGATTGCCTGTTCTAAATGTATGTAGTTTATTAATTATTATTATAATGCCTTTCTTGTAAGAAATGAAAGCTTTGTTTAGTTATAGAGCGTTCACGTCTTAATATTTCTGAGTATTAGAAATAAATTCTTTAATTTCAGACTCGGTATCTTAGGCACTAGCGGTCGCACATGCAACCGCACATCAGCTGGGCTCGACGGTTGCCGGTTGCTATGCTGTGGTCGCGGCTACCAGACCAGGGTACGCGACCATGAGGAAAAATGCAACTGTCGCTTTGTCTGGTGCTGCAAGGTTCATTGTGAAGTCTGTCGCTACAAAAAGGATCACCATGTTTGTAATTAATGGTTTTATTGTTTGTTTCAAAATATTTCGACCTCGTCACTATTGCTAAGATCATTCTGTCTGATTACATTGTGCTATTGTCACTTGGCTTGTAAGAAGAGCTTCTTCGTTTTCAAGTTCTATTCCTATTTGAGCTTGTACAACATCGTTTTTGAGGTTGTATTAAAGAGTAAGATTAGGTTGAACATATGTTACTTCATATGTTAGGTACTTTTAATAATTTTGCTATTGATTACAGAATAAGTCCCTCATACAGATGCACAGGTTATGGTATGAACTTTCAACTATAAATTTCTCTAGAGGTTACGGTATGAAGTTCTAAAAAGATTAGAAAAAGAGATTTCTTTGCAATCAATAGCAGATAATGATACTCCAAATGTTATAGACTACCTAAAGTTTCCCATTGACAACGAGAAGGGCTGTATATTTTTTGCTAGCTCTTCGTGAATAAACAAATTTTGGAGCATCTATAGATAACTTTGTAATGATGAGTAGTATTTTGACATAAAGAATTAGCATTCATTTAGTAATTTCTAACGCTTTCGTGTAAAATAACATGATAGTAAAATAATTGTATCTAGTAAAGATTTTGTTGTCGCTATGACAACAGGATTATTAGTAGATACGAACCTTTTTTTGTGGACGAATGCACTTTGATACTATAAGAATAAATTCTTGCCAATATTATTTAAATTGTGGTTTAGAAGCAAAAAAAAAAAATAATAACAATAATTTAAACAATTTATTTGCAACGATTGTAGATGATTATTATTTAATCATTGATACAAAAGTCTTTATTAATCCAATTAACTTAATTAATACAAATATAAATTTTATATATTATTATCTCTTAATACTTTAGTTACTTATCCATCATTTCACTTAATTATTTTCCTATTGTGTTAAAATAAAAATAAAATATATATGTAAATCACTTTTAATTTAACAGACTGATTTAGTTAGTGTTAGTGTTATAAAAACTAAATAATTACATTGTATTTTCTGAACATAAGCTTTAAAAATATATACAGTATTACTAACTTATTTTATTTTACGTTATTTCACTTGTACAAAATTTGTAAATACGCATAAGTTAATAGAAATCTAATTAAAATTAGTGATTCTATATATTTTAATTATAATACAAAATTAATGTAAAACTAGTATATATTGAATCTTTTTTATTTATATTAGAATTAATGTAAATACTGATAATATAATCACGTACTTAAATGATAGAATATTATAATTTTATTTTCTACCTCATGGAAATAATTTTCATAGAAGCCATATTGATATCATCTTATTGATAACAATAATAATGATGCTGTTTATGATAAGTGTCTATAAGTCGTGATAGATGTAAATATATACTATCTACAATAGTAAAATAGTGTTAGTAACTTATTGTATTAGATTTGTGATAGCGTTATTCCTTTTATTAGTGGATAAAATACTGTAGCTTTTCATATGTGACTATGAAAATCTATTATTGTAAACTTAGAACATTATTACTGGAGCTTCCAGGTTCGATTTTTCCGTTTTATCACAGATTATGTGGTTACATTTTTTTTAAAAAAGATTTGTCGGTATTCTGATATTTGTGAAAATAATGATGTGTGTTAGTTTGGTAAATGTTTTGTAACCAATTCTACGTGCTCTATGTAAAATGTAAAATCTCGTATTCTATAATTGTAAATATTCTCAATTTTTGTAATATAACTCTCTTTTTAAAATTGTCTTCGTGTCTGTCATAGTATAGATGTAAAATGTCAAGTTATTAATTGAATATACATAGCTTATACTCCTAATTAAAATAAAATTAGAGATTGATCAAAATTTGTACTTTACGGATTTATTACGATTTTATTAATCGATCGATACATAAATTACTCAGATAATCGATTATTTGTCGATAATTGAATGAAATATCTATAGATTAATAAAATGAAACATAACTGGCATTTCACAATCTTTTCTATGTAAACAATAGGTTAAATAAATAAAATTCAATGCAAAGACTCAGTGTCCCCCAATTTCGATATGAATTATACTACTGAATGTAAATTGAATAAAATAAATGTATTAGAAAAAATATTACATGTATTTTAATACAATGATGTCAGAGAGTAAAAATTTGAAAGCTAAGTAACATTTAAAAACTCTGTGCAGCTGTGTACTTTGCAGGCAAGGAGGTTGAACTCTTTCTATTCTATTGACCTGCTTTTGTTGCTGCTCATATAGTTGCGCATTGTCCCATAGAGACTAAAACTAATTCTCTCCAGATTTCCTGAGGGTATTAGCGACGGGCTGGCCTCATACGCTTTTTGGTTCGTCGAGTGTTCATCAAAGAAACCACGCCTAGCGCGGCGTTCGCCACAGCTCGAGCAATGTGTTATCGTGTACAGCTTACATTTTTATTAATATTATTACAATTTTGCTTTATTGCACTACTTAAATAATAATATAAATACATACATACACATTTACAAACACTTTTAAATCGTGATTTAATATATATATATATATATATATATATATATATATATATATATATATATATATATATATATATATATATATATATATATAAAAATTTGGATATAGATTTGAATTAAATTGTTACAATTTAATACACCTTTGAATGGGCGAAGTAGCCTTTTACTTACTTTAAATTTTATGGAAATTGGTTGAGTTATCTTAGAGCCTTACAAGAAGTACATGGTATACTTGTCAAAAAATTAAATAGGCTATTACATATATAATATTACTAAATATAGAATATTACTTGCAGATTGTTCGTTCTGTATTAATATTGTTTTTCTGAGACAAAATAATAAATTGTATAATATTTTATCTCTGTAGTTGTCGATTCGTTTAACAATTTCATCAGTATAGCTATATATAGAATGCGTAAAAAAATCAAAATGATGATATAAGTTTTGATTAAGATTACAGATTGCAGGTATAACAATAATACCTACTGTATTTAAAATGCTTTGTCAAAGTACAAAGTCCGTTTTTAATTTAACGGTAGGTTTAGATATAATTAGGTGTTCGATTACCAACACAAATGGAGGCATAATAAATAACATTCTTTATATGTAAGTACAGACAGTAAAAAAAAAATTTATGCAACTTTAGAGTGGCAAACAAGCTGACGGCCCATCTTATGGAATGTGGTTACCGTCGTCTTTAGACATGAGCAGTACCATGGACGTAACAGATGGAACTGTTTCGCCCATGATGCCTTCCATGCATTGCCATTCCTGAGATTTCAACTGTTATTCCTCTATACTCTGTAAATTCACTGCCATATCCCACCCTTCAAATCGAAACACAACTGCTTCACGGTAGAAACACCAATGGGACAGAGGTGCCCAAGCCATCAACTTTTGTACAGTCTATACATATTAATTTTATATAATTAAATTAAATATAAAAATATATTAAAAAAAAAACAAAAAAATTGTAACCTTGACGAGGCTTTAAAACATTTGCACTTGATTTGATAACGCCCATTTATTAATATCTTATCTTTGTAATTACATTTTTAATATATAAAAAATAATGTAGGTGATGGTCGTAGCAATAAATATAGGTATAGGTTGCAATATCAGTATCACGTGATTAATATTTAAGAAATGACATAATCAAGTATTATTAGAAGGTAAATAAAATAAATCCGGATATATTTTCGAGACAATCCAAATTGGATAAAATAGTCAACGGTATTAGTTATATTAGTGTCATCATTTATCATTTCAGCCATTATCCGTCCACTGCTGGACATAAGCCTCTCCCATAGACTGCCATAAAGAACGGTTCTTAGCCACCTGCATCCACTGACTCCCTGCAATGCATTTTAGGTCATCACTCCATCTAGTAGGGAGTTGTCCTATACTGCGTTTGCCCGTACGCGGTCGTCACTCAAGAAACTTTCTTCCCCATCGGTTATCGGTTCTGCGAACTATGTGACCAGCCCATTGCCACTAGCTTGCTTATCCTTCGGGCTATGTCGGTTATTTTAATTCTCCTTACTTTCATCCTCGTTTCGGATTTTATCACGCAAAGAGACTCCGAGTATAACCCTCTCCATAACCTGCTGAACTTGAAGCTTTTACATACGGGTAATCCTGTAGGACTATATTTCGGTTTAAGGGTAAAGACCCTCATCGTCTAATTCTGAGGTATTTTGGATAATCATGTGTTAGTAAAAGAGAGAAAAGCCTCTAAATCCTCTAAACCTCTAAACCACTGCTAAACATAGGTCTCCCCATTGGGGGGTTTTGCCAGTAGTTGCCATGCTCGGCAGGCAGGTTGTCACAAGTTTGTTTGTTTGGCACAAGTCAGAATATTTTAAATAAAACTTCCTAATACTTTAACCTTATTTAATGGAGAATATAACTATTAAATAAATAATAATTTATAAGACAATATCTGATTATATGCCAAGAGGATTGTTTATCCATGGGTATACTCGAGGGCATACGTTGCAAATTTGCATCCAGTAGTCAACCTGAAAAGAGAGCAAACATTGTTTTAGATTTTGGAGTAAATTTTATTATAAATAATAATAATAGTTAATATTGCATAATTTGTATCTGTTTAAGGGAGTTTTCTACAAGAATGTATATAAACATAAAACATTGGTCTCTTTTTTGGTATTTGGTTAAGGAAAAATGTTTAGTTTCATTGGCAAAACACTTATCCTGAAATGGTTGTTTCTCATAGCGTGTTTAGAGAAGACAAAACACTAAAGCCGGTAACCTTGTGGGCTGTAATTTAATTGCCATTATAAACTGTGTCCTCTAATTTCACTACCATATTCAAATTAAAACACAGTTATGGAAGTCCAATTGCTTGGTTTTGAACCAGAAGCGGGTCTGAGGTATTCAATTAACTTATGTCTGCTTATCTCTCTGAATTTTAAAGTTATTTACTTACTTCATTATGTTCAGAAGCCAAGGGTCCGCAACTGGCTGGTAAGCATAACGATGGAGTGAAAGTTTTGCATGGTTGCTGTCTATACTCATCAACTGGTACAGGATTCTTTATCCATTCGATTACATCATAACTTTTAACCTAAAAATATATATATATTTAGCATAGGTTAGGTAAAGAATTTTGTCCGTAATATGTAACAATCCCTACTAAGTTTATAAATGGGAAATTGAGATTGTTTATTACTTTATAGCGTCTTAACGATGGACAGTTAACGACTGATATGGTAAGAGAAGAAATAGTCGAAATAGACGAATTCTTCTCCTAAGGAGAGAAAATTATGTCTAGCAGTGTAACGTTAATTTAAGGCAAGAATAAAGAAAGGTGTAATATTTCTGGTGCTGAATTTAAGATACTTTCAAATAATTTTGCACATTTAATGTAAAACATTTTCATTCATTTGATATTTTAATGTAGAATTTTAAAAACAAGTTCCAAATAAAATATTTGCATGTGACACGGTTGAATGCAGAGTCTTTTCTTTTACATTAAATACTAAAGTACGAGTAGTAACTTGTATTCGAGCAAATAAAGTTATCATTCATAATATATAGTCTAAACATCTCGACAGATTTTCAATTATTAATTTTAATGAATTTATGTCAACTATAGGAATACTACGGGTTACATTGTCAAATCAAATTTGATTTTAAATTGTTCAATGAAAGATGCAATAAAATAATTTAAATTTCTACTTTATCCAAACAATTTCAAATCACTTTAAGTATTATATTATTAATATTTCCTTAATATTAGTAGAGAACATTGTATAAACTACAGTTAATCAAACAATCATTTGTAACTAACCAGAAAAGCGTCATTGAGGTTATTAACGAGGTCTATAAATCTGCTCAGGGCTCTCTTTACAGTTGGATTGACGGCGAGATACCATTCGTGAATGAAGAAACCGAAAGGAGCTCGATTGCTCAGGTAGTGTCTTTCGAAGTTCGTTACAATGAACCGGAACCATGCATCTTCATCATCGAATGGAGGTCTGGGATAGAAAAACACATTATAAAGTTTAGGTATTCCACAATGTTCTTTCTGCAGGCTGTGAAAATTGAATAATCTCCAAAGGCAGACTCTCAAATATAATTAAGGATTCTGTAAATATTAAAAATTGTTGACGTTTTGTGGAATTTGAAAAAACCTACGAAAGGAGTACTTTTACTAACTCACTTTTAATTCTCAGATGAAATGGAATTAAGTAAAAAAATGTTTAACTAAAAATGTACAGTAATTGTAATATGCTTTACAATTACTTTAATTTTTTAGACTTTTAACTTTCAATAATTTAAAAATTATCGAATAATGAAAAGCGTTTGATATAAAAGAAACTACTTACACAGCTGGACAGCTGTCAACCATAGAGCAAGGAGTACCATTTAAATCTCTCCAGCTAACCATAGGTATTATCCATACACCAGGAATGGATGCTGTAGGGCATGGTGATATAACACAATCTTGGATCGAAGCGTAGTCCAGGGTATATGGCCATAAAGGAGGGTCAGTGTAAGTAATAGTTGGCCAAGTGCAGTCATATTCTAAACCATATTCACTCATAGCTTGAAAACTGGAGTTCCCTCCCAATTGGAGGAAGGGAATGCGTACACCTAAAATATTTAGAGAGAAAATTAAAAGATGTTGAAATATTTTTGATACCATAAATAATGTTTTTAATATTTTAAATTTTATTTTGGATTTGATAACTTCAAGCTAGAAGTACATAAATGTGACGAGTCGATATGAATTCCCATTTTCCATCAGAAGGAATGTCTGTTTGATATTCTAAATAAAAAATACGTGAAAGAAGTTAAGGAGATGTATTGGAATAAGTTGCGATCTGAGACTTTCGATTCTCTTTACGGGAAAAACATGTGAATTTATGTTCATAAAAAATACTGTTTATAACACAAGAAAAATATTCGAATTCAATTTTTCGATAAATATGTAATTGTATCTGTTTATATCAATCCTTAAATAGCAAAATCATGATTAAAAAAATGCATGTTCAGACTCAAAATTAAAAAGCAACTTTACCACTTGATTTATTAGCAATGCTTACAGTTTTTGGAAATTATGTACAATAAAATTTTATAAAAAATACAATCATCGTGTCGTAGTGAAAGAATTTACCATAGTTTACTAGTTTGAATAAAAATATACAAAAATAAATACCTTTGAGAGATTCATAAGGAATATTGGCAAAGTGCGCCATTTGGAGTTTTTGGTCTCCAAACTCCCTCGCCATAATTTCAGGTGTGGCTTCTTGCCAGTAACTCTGAGGAGTCTGGTGAGTGATAGAATGTAGGGCGATCTCAAAGCCTTGGTTGTACAGTTCGTTGACAAGTTGGTAATTATTGTATTCATGATTAACGTAGAAGGTAACACCAGATGAACAGTTGTTCGAGTTCACACGGTTGTATAATATTTCTCTGTAGGTTTCTATGTTTATGATATTCACATTGTCATCAAAAGTAAGCATAACAAACTGAAAATGAAGACATATAAATAAAGTGCTATTCTTTTTGAGACAACACGATTGCAATGCAATTATAAAAAAAATCTGCATTTTATAATCAATTAATAAACTATTAAAAGATTATAAAAGTTATTAAACAATATTAAGAATACAAAGAATGCTGAATACGTTTTTAAACTCTACAAGAAATCTCAAAATTTTATTACCTGTGGTGTATCTCTTGCGAGTAAACCTCTTGGAATACTTGTAGTTGAGCATCTACAGTTTGGCAATTGGCACAATTCTTCGTCGCATGGCTCAGCTAACGGCAACTCTTGGCCTGCCACAAATGCAAACACAAGAAATAACACCAAACAGCACCTCATTGTTCCTCACACAAATATCTGGTCTAAAAATGGTCACAATTGTTGCATTCTGGCAATTTATATCAAATGTCATTATCTGTTTCAAACTAATCGTTACATTATAATCTCTGTCAAGTCTTTTCTAGATTTTATGATAATTGTGGATAATATCTTTATCACAAATCAAAATCAGAGTCGCATATATTCTACAGATTTTTGATTGCGTTTAATGTAACAAATTTTTGTTATTAGAATCTAAGAATCTTAGCAAAGAATATAAATTATACATCGTATTCAATTTTGCATCGTTAAACTTCGGCGAGTACTTGTGGTTCCGGTTCTAAAACTTTAACTTTACACTAATTAATTATTGTTACTTATCTTGGACTAGAGAAAGGACTATTTATCAATTATTTATACTTTTCTTACATTTTAATTAGGATTTTTGTTTCAATTCAATTCAATTTATTCTATAACAATATTACATTGTGTCGAACATTATAGGATTTTTATACTGTACAACTGCAAAATCACAAACATGCTACAATTTTACATATAAACAATGTCACGTACAAATAATGAATATGACAATCGTATCTCGTGTTATTATTGTAAATCTTGCACATTAGAATATGTTGCGTTAAAATTATTTTCGTTGATATAATGTAACCTATTACTAGTATTTATTTACCTTCTTTTTTCGATATATTTATTATTAACTGCAAAATAGTCTACGCTTGTTCCTACGAGCTAATATTTGGAACAGTTGTTTTTCTAAATGCTTTTGAAGGTTTTACCAAAGCCACTTGTTCCACAATTCCAAGTCTTTATTGATAGTTAATTTTATTCTTTTACGCTGTTTAAACATATTTAAATACCTTATCGGGACTTAGCGCAATGAAAAATGTTTGCAGGTAAATAGTACCTACTCATACACACCTGCTTCTTCATTGCTGACCTTTGTACGTGGATTGTACCACGTCGTGGTCATGACAGGACTCTTTAGTGATACTTGAACTTTATCACGTATTATTATTATGTGTGTACATCTAAGGACTGCGATCGGTATACTTACATATTCTACGAGTATACTTATATATCAAGTTAATCACCATCTGAATTTCATTATATCTGCATGTTCTATAATCAATGATCGATTTACAAATCGCGTTTGAAAAAAGATTATATACATACATATATGGCTATGTAATGCTCTAATCGTGACCTTTGCTATTGAAGGACTTACTACAAGCGGCCTTAACTTCATTTTAGGAAAGTGGGTATCGTATGGCTTTAATGTCCTTCCAAAATGAAAAAATTAACAAATTTTGAACATAAATTCTTAATCATCATCATCATATCAATCTCTAACTATCCACTGTTGAACACAAGCTTCCCCCTTGGAGAGAATTGTCAAATTTTAATATGCCAAAAAAATCACATCTCTCCATTTCCTTATTATTTATTATTATTGTTATATCAGTCCTTAACTCTCTACTACTGAGACGTTTTGGAGACGTTTTAAGAGGGACGATGTTGCCCATCTCTCGCCCTTCCTCAGTCGCCTCTTACAACAGCCACGGGAAAGGAAGGGGTGGCCTATTCTATGCTGGGATCATATGGCAAATTCTTAGTAATTTAGTAAAACTAACTAACATTACAAACTGCAGTTACAAACTCGCTTGGTAAGTGTGGTAAAACCTCCTTTATCTAATACAAACTGAGAAAGGCAAATTATGTTATTAAGGCAAGTTACAAATACAAGACAGATAACAGAAGTAATTAAGTTACTAATTTTTTTTTATAAAAACAACCATACTATATTCAAGTCTTTCATAAAAAATGAATTAAAAGGTAAACAAATGAATAATTGCTCCGGCCATAAGACAGTTTGCTAATATCTAATATGAGTAGTAGTAAAAATATTAAATCGACTAAAAAAATAACTGATTACGCCACAATTGAAGTAGTTTTTTTTTATTAGTATAAGTGAAGTTTTTATAAGTATAACTTTTAATTATTAGTATAAGTGATAATTTCAAGACAACTTGGTTACTTTTCATGAAGTCTATTGAAACGGTTTGTGTCTACATGTACTTATGAATACAAATGTTTGTGTTTTTCCAGGATCGAAATGGAGTCGTACCATCATCATCATCATGTCAGCCTTTAACTGTCCACTACTGAACATAAGCCTCCCCTTGGGGGGTTTTGCTGGTAGTTGCTATACTTGGTAGGGGAGTTGGCAACCGCAGTTAAGCTTTAAAGATGTTTTAAGAGGAACGTTGTTGCCCATCCCTCGCTCTCCCTTAGTCGATTCTTACGACATCCACGTGGAAAGGCTATGTTGGGACCACACGGCATGTCGTACCATGAAAATGGTAAAAGGTAAGACAATATGTTAAATTGCTATTCTATTAAAGTTTTATTAATGGTGAATTATTGTAGTATGATTTGAATTCAATGGTGAGTGGAGTAATAAGAACATTAGGTACATAAAATAAAAGATTTAAATATTATGTTCTTATTTATTAAACTTAACAAATATGATTCACATATCAAATAAAAAAAAAATTGCAACCGGTATTCAAGAAGTCACAGAACATGGAACAGATGCTAATACAATTTCTCGTTAACTTATTGACTCTTAGAATATACTGGTCGATTCCATTTTAAAAACGAATTCAAATTTTTCAATCACGAAATTATGCACTTATACATATTTTTATTATAAATTAAAGCAAGCATAAAAATTGATACATTTTTAAATTCCGAGATGATTGTTTATCCACGGATATACACGAGGGCATACGTTGCAGATTTGCATCCAATAGTCAACCTAGAAATAATTGAAAAACAACATTAGAAATACTTAATTATATCAACCATTATCTACTACTGAGCATAGGTCTCCCCCGTGGTAATTATTAGCAAACTCCCTTTTGCTAATAGTTGCCACGCTTGGCAGGTAGGTTTTCAACAACAGTTAGGCGTTGATGAAATCTTAAGAGAGATACTACTGCATACCCCTTTACCATAATGTTTCCTTAGTCGCCTCTTACAACACCCATGGGAAAAAGTGGCTATTTTTTTTTATACAACTTAGAATGGCAAACAAGCTGACGGCCCACCTGATGGAAAGTGGTAACCGTCGCCTATAGACATTTACCAGAGGGAGACTTTGTACAAAAGTCGATTGCTTGGGTACCTCTGTCCCATTCGTGTTTCAACCGTGAAGCAGTTGTGTTTGCATGGCTGTGTTTCGGTTTGAAGGGTGGGATATGGCGTGAATTTACTGGGTACAGAGGAATAACACCTGAGTCCTCAGGAATGGCAACGCATGGGGGGTATCATGGGCGAAACAGTATACTCTGTTATGTCCATGGTACTGCTCATGTCTATAGGCGACGGTTACCACTTTCCATCAGGTGGGCCGTCAGCTTGTTTGCCATTCTAAGTTATATAAAAATAAAATAATAAATGTTTCGTCCATGATACCCCCCATGCGTTGCCATTCCTGAGGACTTAGGTGTTATTCCTCCGTACCCATATTATACGATATTTCTCTAAGCCTATGTCTTAACTAAATATTATATTATTAAATTAAAATAATTAAAGTAATTAGAAATGTACTTTATATTAGTCTTTGAAATAAATATTTCGCTGTTATATAAAATTGTAATTAGAGAAATAGTGTTTTAGAATTGGCCCCATTGTTATAATCCGTACTAATATTTTTAGGAAAAGATTCGATTGTTTGTAATGGATTAACTGAAAAAACTGATAGAATGATTAAAATGGTTTACATTTTAATCATTCTATCACCTATAGAAAAATACCTTATCAGTATTACCGTAGTAATAGTATTATTATTAAAAAAATTCTACCTACCCGCACGAAGCCGAGCTGTATTGCTAGTAATTTATAATTCAATAACTATCTCTTACATAAGTACTTAAGTGCACGTTATGATGATCAAAGCAGTTGATAAAGAGACAAAATTGTCATAGTGACAAAAGTTACTGAGTACTCGTAAGTACGATTCATTGTTGTGATACTCGTAATTAGATGATATGGATTTTACTTTTGACATAACATCGTAGAATTAGTTTCAAAGTTAGAAATAATGTGGTTGTTATTTTATAGCCTTAACCAATTTTTATTTTATCATACAACAAGTAACATTTGCCAAAAAATACTAAATGCTACTTTTTAGTTTTAATTAGTAATTCTAGTAATGCAGAGCGTAATAAAAACTGAATTTGAAATGATAAACGTTTACAATTTTTTAAAGTATAATAGGGAAAGTTTAATAAATATGTAGACAATATAATTTGAAACTTGCTTTCCTGTTACGGTTCGCAATAGTTAGCGAATCAGGGATACATAAGTTAGTAATTTTAAGGTACAATAATATTTATTATTGTTATTGTTCCAATAAACGTAAATTATAAAAGAATTATTACATTAAAATATAATATGTACTTAGGAAACTTATAACAATAAAATTCTAAAAGAGTTATGCAAACGTTAGAGATTATGATTAAGTTATCTGGCGACATAATGATAGGACCAAATCTAATCATGACATCTAATTTGTCAATTATTGGTCGAGTTATTTATAAGCAACATTATATGTTGTTAGTGTGTTATAAATTTTCTTTTTATTGAATCAAATATTTGGTTAATTCAAAAGATTTTGTACAAATTTTGCATTTTGATGAAATACTGACCTCATTATGTTCAGATGCCAAAGGCCCGCAACTATTTGCTGAGCAAAGAGTTGGAGTGAAAGTCCTGCATGGTTGTTGAACGTATTCATCCACTGGTACAGGATTCCTCATCCACTCGATTACTTCATGACTGTTAACCTAAAAAATATGGGAATGTAGTACAAAGTATTCTCTATAAAATAAGACTGTTGATAAATTTCACTGTTGAATTAATAATAATTCAACAGTGGAAGGTAGACAGGTTGAATTGATATTTAAAACTAGTTAGTTGATTAGAATTGTTTTGTTTAATTTTGCAGTTTGAGTGTTGCAAAATGTGAGTGCACAGAATGGCGGTTGGAAATTGATGGCTAATATGGAAAATTGTAGAACTTATGATAATAATTCTGGTAATAGCTGCCAACCAACCTTAATAAAATAATTGTTATCAACTAACCAGCGTTATGGTCTTCCGCAAATTAACACCCAGTTCAGTAAAATATATATTTAAGAGGCGAGTGATTTATCATCACATGATTTATAATAATCATCTAGGTATGCATTGTTTTAATTAACAAATATTTCGTGCAAATTGTTCCTTTTAATAAATTTCAATTTTAGTTAATTCACGAATGACATCTATAAAGTTAGTTCAATATAGTTTTGTTTATTTGTAACTATTTCATTAACGATTGAAATTATATAGAAGTTCATATGAACTATTTAGTATTATAGGTGAATGTTCGTTAAAAAAGAATTTCATGTAAATTTGAACTTTCAAATTAAAAGTAAATCGAAAGTGTTTGGGTGCCAAAAGTAAGTGATAATATATACTGTTATATTCACAGTCATACATACATAGACATATAAATAAGTCCTAAGGACGAAATGGGAAAATTTTTATGTATAATAAAAATGTTATTAAAAAAAATAAATATTCAGTAGTAGTAACTAACCATAAAAGCGTCATTGAGATTATTGACAAGATCTAAGAACCTGATTAAGGCTCTCTTTACAGCTGGATTAACGGCGAGATACCATTCATGAATGTAGAAACCGAATGGAGCTCGGTTGTTCAAGTAATGTCTCTCGAAGTTCGTCACAATGAACCTGTACCATGCATCTTCATCACTGAATGGAGGTCTGGAACATATATAACGTTATCTTTATAAATTACAGGATGCACAAACCAAAATTGCATAAAAAAAATTATGTTCCTAGTTTAATTACTGAAAATAAAATTTTATAAAATAATAAATGTGCAGTCTCTGGTCATAAACCTTAGTTCTTTAGAGCAGCAATAGATGAAGGTTAATATGGATTTACAATTCACACTCTATTTCATTACAAAATGCGATTAAAGATAGCGCTGCGCTAGAGTTAGCACTGGAGTAGACTAGGGGCTAAAGCAAATATTATAATAAAATGAAGTTTATTACAAAACCGTGGAAGATTTATGTTATAAAGATAGTGTCCTATAATAATCATGTATAGGTCGTCACATTAATATACCCTATTTATGTACTTTATCATTTTGTCTTTAAATATATGGTTTTGTGAATCTCCAAAATCGCTTTTTGCACTTAATTTCTTTAAATTAGTTCAATTATCATTATACAATAGTCAGATTTAAGCTATACATCATCTTTAGACTTGGTTTAAATTTCGATTTATTACTTCAAGTTTAGTTTAGGTATTAACGAATCTTTTGGAATAAAACTTTAAAAGGCTAAAAATATTAAGAGAGATAATGAGTGATTTCATTTTCATTTTCTAAACATACTCAGTTAATTACTTGTAAATTAATTTCGTTTATTTATTCATTCTTATTTACTGCCCCAGTTATAGAATAATAGAAAAAAATTAATGACATATCTTAACTTTTATTGGGTTAATGTATTTGACTACTGACGAGACTGTGGACCTTCCAAAATAATATTTCTTAATATTTGTTGCTAATATTATTTAATCAATGTATTATTATTTTTTAAATACTCACACTATAGGGCAACTATCAACCATCGAGCAAGGAGTACCGTTTAAATCTCTCCAGCTAACCATAGGTATCACCCATACTCCAGGAATGGATGCAGTAGGACATGGCGCTATGACACAATCTTGAGTTGACGCATAGTCCAAGGTATATGGCCATAGACCAGGCTCGGTATAAGCAATAGTGGGCCAAGTGCAGTCATATTCTAAGCCATATTCACTCATTGCCTGAAAACTGGAGTTGCCGCCCAGTTGGAGGAAGGGAATGCGTACACCTAGTAATTTAAGAAAAATATATAAAAATAATAGTTTTGTTTTTCATTATTATAACAAATAATAAAATATCAGAGGATGAAGTCATGAGGGATTCAGTGGACACCACAATATATACTGTAATGTTCATTTTTCATTACTTGGATCATTAACTTGTTTGCTATTGTACTCGTAAGTTGCGTATTGTCAAAGACATTATCGCTTGACGAAGAATTAGTTTGGCTGTAAAAATTTTATTCAAATCCATTCAGCAGTTTAAGTAACGATTAATTAAACATCTTTTTTTTTGTTTTAATATTTACAAATATATATTTTCGTAGGACATTTATATATTGTCATAGTTGCCAAAAATACCTTTAAGACTTTCATAGGGAATGTTGGCGAAGTGTGCCATTTGAATTTTTTGGTCCCCAAACTCTCTGGCCATAATTTCAGGTGTAGCTTCTTGCCAGTAAGTCTGAGGAGTCTGGTGGGTGATAGAATGTAGGGCGATCTCGAAGCCTTGATTATACAGTTCATTGACAAGTTGGTAATTATTATATTCATGGTTAACATAGAAAGTAGCACCAGCAGGGCAGCTGTTCGAATTTTGACGATTGTACAAGACCTCTCTGTATGTATCTATGTTTATTATGTTTACATTATCGTCGAAGGTGACAAGAACAAACTGAAAATAAAGAAAGAAAATGTGAACACTTGTGGTGATAATTATTTTTATTATCAAGAAGTATTTTAACATGTCTTATGGTGTAAGTCTTATAATGTAAAATGTAAATCTTCTAAATTAAAACTTTTATTTGAATCAGCAGAATTTTAAATAATTTTTAAGTAGAAACTCCTCTGTGCACTGTATCTTAAAAGTTCAATACGAGTTTTATATTCATTTCTGTTCGGTATATTAAGATTTTCACTACCTATAGATTTTTTTATCTAGATATTTAAAAGAATTATATCTGAATTTCTGTTATTATTACTTGATATATGTTCAACACTTCCTTTTTAATATTTTTGGATAATCTATACTAGATTTATTGGAATGGTTCTGAAATCCAACGAAATTAACTGAGCTTTTCGTAATGAATATGATAAGATTCGTCATATGCTGTCTAGTTTTTTTTTTAAATTACTTTAACTTTTTTTATAAACATTTACTTTAATAAATATAACTGAACAACAAAAACAATCATTTCTTAAATTCAATTAAGATAACATTAAGTTAATGTATTTCTAACTAGACATTTTATCATTTAAAATTTTAGTTCTTTTAAATTTAAACATACAAAACAAAACATTAACAAACAGTAAAATGATCTAAATAATAAGGTATAACTGCTTCCTTTTACAAGGAACATTTGAGTACAATAATAAAAGATAAGAATAGAATATATTGAAAATGAATATAGTCTAAATGTAATTTATCAAATGGTATAAAACTTAATTGCTATATTACCTGTGGGGTATCTCTTGCTTGTAAGCCCCTAGGAATATTTATAGATGAACACCTACAGTCTGGCAATTGACATAACTCTTCGTCACATTGTTCCGCTAATGGCAGATCCTGGCATGCCACTAATGTGAACACCAAACAAAACACTGCAACCCACTTCATTTTCACACAGACTTCTTGTCAAGAAATGATCAAGAACTATCACACACTAGCAATTTATATAATTTGTCATTATCTTTTAGTTTTGTCTTTTAATTATATTTTTATTCCCGTCGTGGTATTAATAAACAAGATTTAAGGTATCTTATCTATCGATTAGACTGATTTCTAGTATTTCAGTTTCTAAGTAATTATTTCGTATATTAGACATAATTGATTAGGATTTATTATTATCATTAATCCATGTTTATGATTTGATTCAATAAAAACATTATCATTTTAGCCATATGGATATGGGGGACTTTTTTCTCTAATGCCTTGTTGCATTTAACCAAATATCAAGTTCCATTTTTTAATCTGTGACATTGATAAAAATGTTTACGCTGGATTCTGTAATTTTTATGTCAGTATTTTTTTTTTATATTACTCAGAATAACAAACAGACTAAGGGCCCACTTTGGATGGAGATGATTAGATGGAGGGCAATAACCATCGTTTGTAGAAATACAACTACCAGTAAAACCCCTCAAGGGGGAGATCTATGTTCAGCAGTGGACAGTCAATGGCTGTCATGATGATAATGATGATACTGTTATCTTAGTTTTACTTATATCTTGTATTCATAACTTGTAAACTCATTGCATTATCTCAGCTTATTTCCATGTGGTCCCGGCATAGAATAGGCCACCCCTTTCTTTCCTATGAGTGTCATAAGAGGCGACTAAGGGAGGGTGACGGAGGGGCTGCAGCGTCCCTCTTAAAACATCTCCAAAGCCTAACTGTTGGTGCCAATCCGCCTGTCAAGCATGCAAAACCTCTCAAATGCTTAGCAGTGGACAATTAAAGGTTAATCTTAATCTCACTCATCAAAGCCCAGCCATGCAAACAGAAATCTTCTGAATGAAGTTTCATCCTTTTCGAAGCTGCATTTAAAGATTACTAGGTAATAATTACACTTATCAAGTTAGCTTATATTTATTGTATAATATACATAATTATATAAAGTAAGGTATAAAAATATTTATTATTGCCTTTATCTTTTCCTGTCTGATAAATTTAGGGTTTTCAAGGCCAAGGATTAATTTTGATTGTTTTTTTATCATCTTATCTTTAAAATATCTATTTTTACGTATTGTTAGTATAGATTTAGTATTACTTGCTATATTATAAAATACTTTACAATATAATTTTGAGGTTTATTTAATTAGTTATCAAACAATTCGACATTGAAATGTATTTACTGTAAAATTAATTAGTAAGTAATAAATAAATAAATAAATGTAAATAAATAACTTAAAAAAGAAACTATTCATATAATTTTTAAGCTTAATATGGAATTGTCTACAGATTAAATGAGAACTCTGTATACAGTATTAATTATTCAGAGCAAATAAAGTAACGTAGTATTTAAGTTCCATAACCGCGGTTGCCAATTCGTCTGCCAAGCGTGGCAGCTACTGGCAAAACTCCCTTTATGGGGAAGGCCTATGTTCAACGGTGGACAGTTAATGGCTGATATAATAATAATAACATAATAAAATTGGCTTTTATAGGCAAATATTTAATACTATGTTTTATGTTACTTATGCAACTGTATCTTTCTTAAATAAAAATTTATTTACTTTACTGTTACTGTTACTGTAATTTTTGTACAAATCTCCAATTTTTTTTAAATAATAGCCTGATTCACATGTTGTTAATGTAGCTTTTAATAAGGGAAAAAATTCTTAACATTGGACGAGTAGTTTTTGAGTTCATCCGTTACAAACAAACAAATATATAAAAAATTAAATCTTGCCACTTTATATTATTACTATAGAAATATAAATAAAGATATTATATATTTTATATAGAAATGAAGGCAAAGGCACTTTAGTGTCCACGTATCGCTCTCCGCGATTGTAATATTTCTATTTTTCTATTTTATTATAGTAATCATTACGCTAAATATGATAATTATACTAATTTTGATATGACTAATTACTTATCAACACCCATTTGTAAAGTGATTTCAATCTAAAACTGACGTGCACATATCCGGCCTTATCTTAATTATTGTGGAATATTTAAAAAAAAAAAAGTAATTTCTTCGTGGGTATTTCCCTGAGATATTGTAACAGGAAATTTAATTTATGCTTAAATTTTATAATATCTATTTCGAGTATCGATCAGATAAAAAAATCAGAGATTACAATTAATGTTATAAATTGGCCAATTGCATTAAAACTGTGATAGCAATGATCCTATATGTTGATATATCTATAGTACTCACCTATATTTTAAAGCGTATCTTGATGTTCTGAATTCAAAATCTACGTTTACAATACTAAATATTTATTTATTTCACTTTCATCATCATCATCATCATTATATCAGCTTTTAACTGTCCACTGCTGAACATAAGGAGGTACAAATCGTGGTACTGGCAAAACCTTCCCTTAGGAGGGTTTTGCCAGTACCACGATTTGCAGGTGGATTGGCAGCCGCAGTTAGGCATTGGAGATGTGTTAAAAAGGACGCTGCTGCCTATCCCTCGCCCTCCCTTAGTCGTTTTTTACGACACCCATGAAAAAGGAAGGGGATGTCTATTCTCTGCCGAAACCACACGGTAAAATATTGCTTGTTACAAACTATTTAAACGATTATTTTCATAAAAAAATAATGTTTATAAATAGATTGTGAACAATCTGGAAAAATCGGTAACTAAACGGATACGAGCAATCGATGTTTAAAGTATATAATTGAACCAGTAGCGTCTTTATTCGAAGGTGTTAAGATTTAGATTCGTAAAATACTATACTACAGTATTATCTTTTAATCTTCAATACTGAAGTGCCAGGAAGTTGAATGTAACGTGTTATCTAATATTTTACAGATCGTCTCGTTGATATAAAAGTTATACCTAATTGGAATTAAAAGAAACAGATAGAAAATTTTGTCTAACTCTCCGATGTTTGAAAACATAAATAATAAGCCAAATTAATTCGAATGATTGCGGTAGGCTCGCCCCACGTTTGATTTAAATATGCTCAGCTAAATATGGGCATACCTTTAATAGGATATAACATTCACTATAACAGCAACTTAATAGTCAAGAAATAGCATAAGGAAGCTTATATATTATACTAGTTGTACCCCGTTGCTTTGTCCGTGTAAACCTTTATCAATCATATGATATAGTAAGTTAGGATATAACCTATCCACGTATTAAATTACATTCAAATTCGTTTAGTAGCTTTTGATTAGAAGAGTAACAAACATCGACCTATTTTCACAAACTTTTGCATTTATAATATTTTTATGATACTTAGAATGGCATACAAGCTGATGACTTACTTGATGGAAAGTGGTAATCGTCGCCTGAACACGAACAGAATCGTGGACATAACAGAATATACTATGAACTCCTCATGCAGTGCCATTCCTGAGGACTATAGTGTTACGCATCTGTACGATGTAATTTCACTGCCAAAACCCATTCTTCAAACCGAAATAGCTATTTTACAGCAGAAACACAAATGGAACAAAAATGCTTGTGAGTGTCATTTTCATGTTTTTGTTTATATGGAAATCGGTCCAGTAAATAGCGCTTAACATTTCGTTTCTCACAAATCCTACCATAAAAGTCCAAAGGAACGATATTTTAACATTTTTATTATTTGTAATGGTGTCTCATATAATTTTAACATGAAATTTGTGTTTCGTTTGACCCTGAAATTTCGTAAAACATTTTATAGTAGGCCATTTGGAGTTTACGCTTGAACTAAATCAAGTGTAAGCTTGAATTAAACTAGGAATATGACGTTTTTATTAATATGACGGTAACTGTATCATATTTAACACACAACAGCCATTAGGTAGGATGTGTCTATATTTTATCAAATTTTATCTATACTTATTTATGTTGAATTACAGTAGACAACAGTTTTGATTGTTTGCGATAGTTGATATTAAATCAATAAAAATATTAATTCGTGGAATTAATGATAACTAATTAAACTCGGTAAATACGTTATATTAAATATTTGTACCTACTAAATTAGTATTAGCAGAGATTTATTAACATTATAATAGTTTTTATTAATTTACCAGAGGGAGACTTTGTATAAAAGTCGTTTGCTTGGGTACTTCTGCCCCATTCGTGTTTCAACCGTAAAGCAGTTGTGTTTGCATGGCTTTGTTTCGGTTTGAAGGGTGGGATATGGCATGAATTTACAGGGTACAGAGGAATAACACCTGAGTCCTCAGGAATGGGAACGCAAGGGGGGTATCACGGGCGAAATAGTATACTCTGTTATGTCCATGGTACTGCTCATGTCTATAGGCGACAGTTACCACTTTCTGTCAGGTGGGCTGTCAGCTTGTTTGTCATTCTAAGTTGTATAAAAAAAAAATACGAGTGTAATAATGAAATAGTGTCTCTATTATTATTTCTCTATTTATGTTAATGTTATAAGGAAGAGAGATTTGATCTTTTATTAATAATGGATAAACTTAAAAACCTACTCATCATCATCATCATTTCAGCCATTAACTGTCCACTGCTGAACATAAGTCTTTCCCATAAGGAAATTTTTGCATGTAGTTGCCAAGCTTGGCAGGCGTGTTGGCAAATGTAGTAAGACTTTTAGAGATATTTTAAGAGGGATGCTACTGCCCATCCATCTACCATTAACTTCCCTTAGCTGCTGCATACAATACCCACGGGAAAGGAAGAGATGGCATATTCTATGCTGGGACCATATTAAAAACTACTCACCGGATTTTTATTCTGCCATTTATAGTAATTTACATCAGCGAGTAAAATCGGCTATATATTATTTTTAAAAATTATACCTACCCGTGCAAAGCCGGGTCGAATCGCTAGTTATCTATAAATAGTTTAGATATCTACTTTTTTTATAAAATAAATCAATCAATATAAAAGTTAAATATAGCTAGCTGTATCTGAATCCATTTTAGCTATTAAGTGTATATAGGTCGTTTATAAATGTTTACAAACAATTCAAATTTTAATTGGATACATTAAATGAAACGCG